GGCCCAATTCGAATGCCTGGTGGACTTGGCGAGGCCGGCCCCCCTCCCAACGGATGTGCGCGCCGCCAACTCGATGGTGGCGACCTCGGACGGTCCTTCTCTCAAAACTGAGCACGAAATTATGCGTCTCAAAAGTGCTGGCACACTAATCGACCATGTGCGTCGTTCTATCGCGCACGGAAGAAATCATGCGCCTGTTGCTTCATTTGCCATCGAATTCAAGCCCCATCCGTAGCCATTCCCTACCTTCAGCTCATGGTGCCCCACGTGGGTGCGAGGCGTTGAGAGCGCCGTTCTTGCCCGTCACGGCATCCAGCAGCAGTCGGGCCCCAGCTGAAGCGACGGCCGCAAGTTCGTGGTTGAGGAGGTCCGCCAGTCCCACCAAAGCTCTGCAGGCCCCGCTGCGCGATCACGCGGGCTTTTGGCGAAAACGAATCAGCGCGCTCCTCGCGCAGTTTCTGAAGCGCCGGCAGCGACAGAACGGGAAGAAGGGAGCAACCGACATCCAGCACGCGCGTCGGCAGTTGCGGGGGGCACGCCGCCTCCTTAGACCTGTCAAGGGCGCCGGTGACAGGAAGTGGGCGAAGGTGCTGCTTGACTTGGATTGCCTTGTTGACCCAGCCCTCGCATTCTGTCGTGACCAGGCCGCGCGGGTGGCCATGCGCGGTCAGAGGCGTGCCGTCTATGAATCAATCGCTTGCCGAGGTCCAGGAATGGGTTGCGCAGCAGTCTGCGGCTGGGCGAATGCATCGCAGCATGAGGGAGGGGGGGGGGGCTTGCCGATGTGGGAGCTCCGCGCGGGTTCGGTGGCCGCGGCCCACCCCGAGGACATCGTGGACGCCGAGGCGCGTCGATGGCAGGACGCATGGCCCCCCCCCCCCGCCCCGTCGATCGCGAAAAGGCGCAGAGGGCCTTCGAGGCGGCTCGCCAGGCGGCAGTGCTGGAGCCGCTCGAGGCCATCGCTGCAGAGGAGGCAAAGGGGGCGGCTAGTGCCATGAAGGCTAACGCTGGTCTGGGCACAGCTCGGATGGCCCCGATCGACGTCGAGCGGCCGCCGTCCGACGCTCTCATATGGAGCCGAGCTAGCCGAGCTGCCCAAAGCCGTCGAGCACGCGTTGGATTGGCCGCGCCGGACGCAGCTCGTCGCCGGCAAGCTCTTGCCGAAGAAAGTGAGCGGCGACCGCGCGATCGGCCTGGCGTCTTTTTCTTGGCGGGCTCGGGTCGCTGATCAGAGCGGTCTGCGTCGGGCAGCGGTGCAAAGCGCGTCTGGGGTCTGAGCGCGACGCTGGCATTGCAGGCCACGCCTTTCTCAGGGAGGCGTCCTGCCGCACTCTGCATAATGATGTCGCCGGTGCTTTGGGGGCCCTGCGTGGGCGCGGGGTGCTGGACGTAGAAGGATTGGCAACGTTGAGAAGGATATTGAAGGTGATGTGTCGCTGAAGCAGGGGTCTCCCACTGTTATCATGCATCGTAAGCTGCCGCGGTGCGCGGACCATCAAATGGGCGCGGTGGCTGGGCCCTTCCTGGTGACGTGTGGCAAAATTCAAGGATTGCGTTTTGGAGCCCAGTCTGTGTATGACGCAAGATGGCTACGATCAGCAGGGGCCACCAGCGGGCGTCTTATCGCATATGGGTGCATGATTTATCGCAAAGCTCAGCTGGTTTCACCGGTTCTTCGTCAGAATATCTCGCCGACGCCACTGGTGAGTTGAATCCGGCCAAGCTTCAGATTGTCCCGAAGTCGTGCGTTGTTCTCATCTTGGCGATCCGAAATAGATCGTTCGGCGCTTGAGGAAGCATGGCCACGATATTCAAGCTCCGCTGCAAGCGGGCTTCCCAGGCGTGGATATACATGCCGGCCGGCTCACGGCCAGGGAAGTCAGGACCAAACGGGGGCTCAAACAGAAGAAGCTCCACGCGAAGGTCGTCCACTTTGCCAGAGCGTCCACGAGGTATCAGAAAACCTCGAAGCTCGAACGTCCTCGCGCGCGGGTGGCAGGCATGCGTGGGCACTCCGTCCACGGCACGCACGGCCAGCAACTGCAGCAGTGCCGACGTGGAGTAGCTGCAGCGCGCAGCGTTGGAGGCAAAGGGCTTTGCGCCGCAACTTTGTTGTCGGTGAGGGCGCCATGCCAAGACCCAGGAGTCAAGCTGCCGCACGAGGTAGTGACAGTGTGGCACCACCAGCGGTTCTCGCATCCTCATATTCGACCTTATGTGTATCGTGCATGGCCTAAGGTGTTGCAGGAACTCGCGTCCATGCTACAGGGGACCATGTCAGCCACATCCTCGCGCTGCTCGGGCACGAATGGCACCCCGAGTCCCGCACCAAGTGGCACCTCTCCGACGAGATCACGTGGCACTTTCCCGAGGAGATGTATTATGACCACTTGGCGCTGCATGCCATGCAGGTTTCTTTCTTGTGGACTTCGACAATGTCGGCTGCTGCGGCGCATTGGCAGAAGGCGGCTGCGCACATTGGCGACAGCGGGCTGCAGGGTGGCGGAGACAACGTTTCTCCCTACAGTGGTTGCATCGACATCTCGAGGCCCAGCCTCGGGGCCGGCGCTTGGCAGAAGTCATGGTCTCCCCCTGTGCGGGTGGACACTGTTGCCCCGTGAGCGGCGAGAGCAGCGGCAGCCACGAAGGTGCAGGCGTGCCAACTCAGCCTTCGCTGCCGTAGCCACGTCGGGACCCCGCGTCATCGCAGCTGGAGTTGTCAGGTTTCCACCAGCCCCGAAGAGGATGAAGGAGCGAAACACAGTCGATGACCGAAGTAGGACGGTGCCTGGCGTAAACTGGAACCTGTGGGCCCAAACATGCATGATCTCACCGACTGTCGGGTAAGATAGAGGGAGTAAGCCAACTGGTGCGATGAATGTGGTGCAGGCTGTTCGATGCAAGCTATGTGGTGCAAACTTGCGTGACGACAGCGGCGCGGAGTCAGCTGTGCTGGGTAAGCCATGTGATGTAAGCTGTGCAGTGCAGGGCACGCGGTGTGTAAGCTGTGAGGTGCGAGCCGTGGGGTGCTGTGTCTGCGGTGCCCACGCGGCGCCCAAACGGGCGGGCACCGGGCGAAACCTCGGCGAACCCACCCGCCCACGAGCCGCCCACGAGCCGCCCACGAGGCGCCCACGGGCGAAGCCTCGGCTGACCCGTCCAACTCCCGAGGAAGAGCAGTGAGACACCCTGGATGCAGACACTGTTTGGGGAACAACAATCGGGCGTTGGCAGCGCTAGTTTTAGTGGAACTTGTACCGGGGGCGCCCCCCCCGTCCCATGTCCATTAACCGGAACTGCCGTCACCCGAAAAACACCAGTTACGGCAAACCTGGTTTAGTGAATCTGGCCAATTGAGGGGCCCCAGGGCCCTACCACTAACCGGATCCCCTGGGGTCCTGGCTATACCCGAAACAAGTCCAACCTCCCGGGGCCACGCTCCCTTGTAACCAACGCTCGGCCCGATCTCCCGGGATCACGAGCCGCTGTATCAACAGAGACATGGGTCCGCGCCCACGGAGCAACGATGCCTTGCAGCACATCGTGGGTCCGCGCTCCTCGGGCCACGCTCTCGACACCACGACTCCTCGTCGCACATGACTAAAGATGCGCACCCCCACCCCTGGCAAATCAAAACAGACGCGCGATCCCGACGCCACCATCTCTTCTGCAAATCGTGGCAGGTGCGAGGATCCGAGGCCATCACCCCTATGAGTTCAGACAGCAGATGTACGCTCCGGAGGCCACCATCCTCGGCGAATTACTGCAAATGCGCATGCCCGGGGCCACTGTCCTTTGTAACCTACGACAGACGCACACGACCGAACTCCGAACTTAATCAACCCTGGTGCAAGTCCACATCCACGCCGTGAACTGCAAACGTGGCAACATCGAAAGTGGCGACGGCTGCTTAGTTGGTAGCGCCCACGGCGGGAAGGTCCAGATTGGATCCGAGTGTGACCCCACGCCGCGGGACACCCGACAAGCTCACGAAAATGGCGACAGTTGCGCACCTGGCATCGCCCAGGGGGGGCAGGGCCACTTGGGATCCGAAGAGGACCCGCTCCGCCTGACCCCCCACAGGCTCACGAGTCGCGGCGGTTGCGCGGCTGGCAGCGCCCAGGCGAGGTCTAGTTTGGATCCGAATCGGATCCTGGTCTGCTGGACCCCGCCACATGTCAACGAAGGTGGCGGCCAAGTGCGCGGCTGGCAGCGGGCTGGGAGGAGAAGCCCAATTAGGCACCGAAGCAGATCCGCTCCGATGGACCCCCCCACCCCTGAAATACGGTGTCGTGATTTTCTCAATGCGCGGTCCCCGAAGCCTGGACTTATTCCCCAGGACGGGGTTTTCATCCTGAGTCGTTTTTGTTGACGGTCCTGAGGCCTGGTAAGGGCCCCTAGAGGCCGAAAATAATGAAAAACCTCCCGTCGTGATTTTTTCCCGACGCGAGGGAGTCTGGGACAGGCTCACGAAAGTGGCGACAGCTGCACGGTTGGCGTCGCCCAGGGAGGGGAGGTCCAAATTGGATTCGAGCAAGAACCCCTCCGCAGCTCACCTGTGCGCCTTCGAACCGCGGAGGTCCCGTACCGTCCACTTCCGTATGTACCCTCCTCCTCCTCCTCCTTCCCCCCTCCTCCTCCTCCTCACCAGCCAGCCGGTAAGCAGAAAATGGACCTCCCAACCAGCCATCTAGACTTAGGTGGGGCATGTCCTCCTACAGGCGGGTTGTGTAAGACAAGCGACATATGGTCAAAAATTATGCAAAGCTAATCAACAAGAGTCGAAAATCGTCCCCAGACTATTTTCTGACTAGTTTTGAATTTTCCTCCTGTAAAAAAGGGACATGCCCGACGTAAATCTAGACAACCAACAAACCAACCCAACTGCCACCCTGCCGACCGACCAACCATGCAACCAACCCACCCACCCACCCAACCAACGCAGCCGTGCAGACAACCAGAAAGGGGGGGACCGGCGGAGGAGGGCGAAGCCTTCCACCAACTCAGCTCGGACATGCACCCCTTTTGGCACGCTCGCATTTTCTGTCCGCGAGCTACCGTACTCGGCATCAAATTCATCAGGGCCTGATGTCAGGCCTCGTCTATGCCCTGCAACAACACCAATGCCTATTGAGTAAATGTCCGCCACCGTGCCTCTGGGCACGGAGTGGGCGTGTCTTCAGTCCTGGACCTCAGTCCTTAGTCCTGAGGAGTCGTTAAGGAGCCTCAGCACTGGAGCCTGATCCCAGGTCCTCAGTCCCCAGTTCTCAATCCTGGAGACTGGATCCTCAGTCCTCAGTCCTCAGTTCTGAAGAGTCTTGGCCCAATCCCTGGAGCCTCAGCCCTCAATCTTGAGGAGTCTCCGAGGAGCCTGGGCCCCGAGATCCCCCAAATCTGCCAGGGCTTGTCGCGCGCCCGCTGGGCTCCCCCGTGGCTCGTCGCGTGATTTTGTCGACCCCGGGGCGTCCCCAGGACGGGCCAAGAGAGCCACACGAGGCCCCCGAGACGGTCCAGGAGGGCCCCAAGTCGCCGAAAGCTCGTTCCAAGACGCCCAAGACGGCCTTACGATGGCCTAAGAGGCCTCCCAGACGAGGCCTCCAAGAGGCCTCCCATCACTGACTCTCCGTAGGTTTATGCAGATTGTTGGCGTTCTCACCTGTTCTTTTTCCGACGCTCCAAGACGGCCCAAGATGCCCCCAAGACCAACCCAAGTCGGCCCACGAGGTCTCCAAGGCCCCAAGACGGCCCAAGAGGCGCCCAAGACGGCCCAAGAGGACCCCAAGACGGCCCCAGAATGGGCCAAAGAGAAGGAACACGGACACGAAAATCCGAGACTTCCGCCCCAAGATGCCCCCATGAGGCCCCAAGAGGCGCCCAAGAGGCCTCTCAAGAGGCGCCCAAGAGGCCCAAAAAGGGCACCAGGAGACCCCAAAACGGCTCCCAAGAGGCCTCAAAACTGCCTTCAAGAGGCCCCCGAGAGGCCTCCCACGAGATCCCAACGAACATCCGGTAGACTTCATACCCATAGTCCAGGCAGGTTTGCAGGATGGGCCGAAGGCCATTAGATACACTGGCATGGCTCTACATGTCGAGGTCATTCGGACATGGGAGTCCAGACTTGGAGTGGGCTGATTCCAAGTCTCGAATCAATGATGGACATCGACGGCCAGGTCAATCGAGATTGGAGCCTCGTCTGTCGCGTGGTCGGACGGATGATGGCCGTCGGTCGGATCCACATTGTTGTCATTCGAGTCATCCTGGACCATGTCGGCCGGAATTGGTGCCGCGTCTGATGGGTGATCGGTCTGGAGCTGGTCATCGGCCACGTCTAGTGGGTCATTCGCGTGGCTGGTCGGATCTGCAGCGGCCGGGATGGCGTCGGCTTCGCAGCGGCTGGCGAGGCGATTTCGCCAGCGCAGGAGCGAAGCCCCACCACAGGCTACCCCAACACAGCAGACCACACTGATGATGACGACAATGGCTAGATTGGTTGATGCTTCGGCGTCACCCTGACTGGATAGCGCAGACACCTCGGTGAGTGCGCTCGCCTCGGAAGTGGTATCCGTCAGCACAGCGAGGCTCTCCACCGTCAGATCGTAGCTCAATCCTTGGCTCTGCAAGCTGGCCGACACCGCCTCCTGCATCACAGAAGTGATGCTGTCGGCAGTCAGCACTGCAACTATGTCCGAGCTGGACGTGCCAGTGGCATCATCTCCCCTAGGAGTTGTGATCTCGTAACTTACCTCCACGGAGCCAACCGCGGTGGTGAGAACCCGCTGCGGCACTGCCGGCAATGCAAGCCTCCTAACAACGCTCATTGTCACAGACACCTGGTCTTTCTTTACTCCTACCGTATTGGCGATGCCCTCTGCAACTGCTACTCCAGTCTTTGTGTCACTCACGAAGGCTGCGGGATCGGATACGACGAGCGTCATCAATCCTTTGGTCACTGTAACCTCTGAGAAAATCGTGGATGAGGCAATGGTGGTTCTTGAGGTGCCAATGGTCACTGTCACGGTGGTGCTGATGGTTGCGCTTGTGCTGCTATGAGCGGTACTGCTGGTCCCTGGAATAAAGCCGGCGTCTGTGGCACTCGTCGTCGAGATGCTTATGAACGTACTCGAAGCCACCTCGCTCGACATGGTCTCGGATGTCGCCAGCGATGTGATCGAGGTGGCGCTGGTCGAGATGCTGGTGCTGCTAGCCGTGTCGGTCTCCGACGCGTCGGTCTCCGACGTGCCGGTTGTGGCGCTCGTCGAGAAGCTGGAGCTGCTAGCCGTGTCGGTCTCCGACGTGCCGGTTGTGGCGCTCGTCGAGATGCTTGTGGTGCTGGTGCCGGTCGTCGTGAGGACACCGATGCAGATGTACCGGTCCGCCACTGTGCCGCCCGGCACGCTGAGGCGTGGTAGAATGCCAGGTGCTGTCTGCCGGGGTCCGTGTCGTCTTTTTGAAAGGACAGCCCGCCTCCTGGGTCGCACCCAGCCGCGAGCACCGCCACCTCTTCCCGATGCTCCCTGGGATGCCTCACACCTCCCTGGCGCTCGCCAAGGCGTCCCAAATGCCCAAGATGGCTTCCAAGACGAACCTGAGAGGCCACTGAGGCCGCCAAGATGGCCCAAGATGCCTCCAAGACGGCCCAAGGTAGCCCAAAGATAGCCCCAGGACCGCCCAAGAGAGCCCCAAAGCAGGCCAAGAGGGCTCCAAGGAAGCCTCTAGCAAGGCACGACGGAGCCCATACCACTGTTTCTCTTAGGCTGTTTGAAAGATTACCGCATTCTCTCCTTTTCGAACTTCCGTTGGCTCAAGACGGCCCAAGAAGCCTCCAATATGGCCCCACGACGGTCCAAGACGGCCTCAAGATAGCCCAAGAGACTTCAAAGCCGGCCTCGAGACAGCCCAAGAGGGCCTCAGGCTGGCCCTGAATGGCCTCCTGAGGGACCCAAGACGGCCTAGGAGGACCCCTTGACGGTCTCAGACGGCCCCACGACGGCCCCTAAGTAACCCCCTAGACGGTCACGAAGACCTCAAGATGGCTTCAAGACGGCCTAAGAGGCCGTCGAGGCGTCCCAAGAGAGCACCAAGAGCCTTCCCAAGAAGGCCTCGAGAGGAAAAAACATTGACTTTCGTTTGGTCTTTCATGTTGCTCGGGGTCTCGCCATTTCGAGCTTCCGACATCCAAGACGACCCAAGAGGCCACCAGGAATGCCCTAAGACAGCCCAAGAGGCCCCCAAGAGGCTCTAAGATGGCTCCAAAACTGTCCAAGAGGCGCCCATGAGGCGCCCAAGAGGGCCCCAAGACGGCCCCAACAAGGGCCCAAGAGGGCTCAGGAGGCCCCAAGAGGGACAAACGAGGCCCCCAAGAGGGCCCCGGGAGGCAGAAACCATTGATTCCCCTTTCCTTTGTCATTGTTTTTGTTTTGCTCTTGCCTTTTCGAACTTCCGACGCTCCACGACGGCCCAAAAGACCGCCACTCCCCCGAGACGGCTCAAGAGGCCACACGAGAACTCCGAGACGGCTCAAGAGGGTTCCTAGACCCAAGAGGTGCCCAAGACTGCCCAAGAGGGCCCCAAGAAGGGCCCAAGAGGGAGAACACGCGCAACAAATCCCAGCACGCCCCCTTGCCTTCTCGAACAGCTGCCGCCCAGAATGTTGCGCTGGTAGGGTGGCGGAATTGCCGGAGGCAGCTGGATAATCTGTGTCAGGCTCGGCGGTGTCAGAGCTAGAGTCTGCGAAAAATACCTGTGTGGTGGAGGTCTTATACACGCAGGTGAACGGGAAGCCAGCGCCTGTAAAATCTGATGTCCCAGCGGATGTAAGATTGACGGACGCCATGGCTGCCCCAAAACACTCTGTCGCTCTCGTCACGTCCTGCATGCCAGCCTCGTAGCAAGTCTGGCCAGCCGGAAGTAACGTGTATTCCTGTTGGGCAGCTGCAGTGGATGTGGCAGTCGTGGTCGTTATGCTCATCGTGGAGCTGAGGGTAACGGATGTACTTGTGAACGTTCCAGAAACAGTCTCGCTCGACGAAGTCCCGCTAGTCGGCGTGGTGGTGCTGCTAGCAGTGTCGGTCTCCGACGTGCTGGATGTGGCGCTCGTCGAGATGCTTGTGGTGCTGGTGCCGGTCGTCGTGAGGACACCGATGCAGATGTACCGGTAGTCTGCGTTGGGCTCGGCGTTTTCAGAGCTAGAGTCTGCGAAAAATACCTTCGCGATCGATGTCTTATACACGCAGGTGAACGGGAAGCCAGTGCCTGTAAAATCTGTTGTCCCAGCGGATGTAAGATTGACGAACGCCATGGCTGCCCCAAAACACACTGAAACGCTCGTCACGTCCTGCATGCCGGCCTCGTAACAAGTCTGGCCAGCCGGAAGTAACGTGTAGTCCACGTATGAGGTGGTCGTGGCTGTCAGTAACGCCGATGAGCTGGAGGTGCTGCTCGCGGTAGTGGCTGTCGTGGTCGTGGTCGTCCCCGTCACCGTCGATGTGGCGGTGGTCGTGTAGTCCGTCCCGACGCAGATGAACTGGTAGTCGCTGGAACCCTTGGTTTGTTCGCCGGTTGCTTGAGAAAAAAACAGCGTGTCCGCGCTGGTCTCGAGGACGCAGCTGATGCCGAACGCCGTGCCTGGAATCCGCCGCCGTGCCCTCTGGCAGGCTTTGGCCGAACAAGGAAGAGAAATGCAGCTGCTGTCCGTCGGGCTGGTGACAGATGTACTGCCGTTTTTTTGATTGGCCTGGCGGGCTGTGCGAGGAGTGCATGCGATGCATCGCGGTCGCCCCCCCTCTCTCTTCCTCCTTTCTCTCCCAACATAGTCCGCTGGCACAACAGAAAACAAGACGGATGTGCTGTCGTCTTGGCATGGTTAAAGACGGGGCCTTAAAGGCGAAAGTGTCGTCTTGGCATGCCGTGCGGGTCTGTCGTGATCTGCGTGCGTCTGCGCGTGCTCGGCTGCGCGGAGTCTGTGCGCGTGGCTCGGCTGCGTGCCGCGAGTGTATGTATGTATGTATGTATGTATGTATGTATGTATGTATGTATGTATGTATGTATGTATGTATGTATGTGTATATATATATACATATATATACACTTTTTTTTGTAGACCTGGCCGCGTCCGTTCCATGACGTCGCCAGCTTGCGACAGTCACGCACCCGTGTTGGCGGGCATGTTGTGTGATCCCTCTCGGGAGCCCTCGGGGAAGCCCTCGGAATCCCAACGTGGCTGGTGTAACCCCACGCTGGCCCGGTGACCCAGCGGGGCTGGTGTGATCCCGTCTTAAACATGACCACCGCTCCAGTACAGAGCCCTTGTGACGCCAACAAAATGGACGGCGCCCTGTTTTGACCTGTGCATGCGTGCAATGTGTGTTTGATGTGTGGTGTGTATGATGTGTGATTTGTGTGTGTGTGTGTGTGTGTGTGTGTGTGTGTGTGTGTGTGTGTGTGTGTGTGTGTGTGTGTGTGTGTGTGTGCGTGTGTATGTCTGTGTGTGTGTGCTGTGTTTGATGTGTGACTTGCGCTGCGCGTGTGTGGTAAAAACTGTAGTCGTGGTTTGTGCGAGGGTGCACACAAGCTATGTGATTGAGCCGTTTCGATGGATATATTGACGGCGTCACCGGCCGTCTTGAAGACCCTGGGGGCGCTTTTGGGCGCTCTTGGTCTATCTTTGACCAAGCTGGGACGTTTTGGGGGTCCTCTGGGGAGCGCTTCGTGGATGTGTTGGACCGTCTAAGAGACCTTCGAGACCGAAGCCAACACGATGTTGATTCAGAGTGCCCTCCAAAACAATAACATTATATAGACACGTGCTGCTTGGGCCCCCCACGGGGGAGGTCGAGTTCACGCCACGGTGCAGTTCAGCAAGCGGTTTGAATTGAGGTGGGTCATGAACTCGACCTCATCTTCGTCCGCAGGGAGGACGAGGGGGGAGGAAAAGCAGGAAAAGGTTGAAATGGAGAGGACGAACACAAGGAGGAAAAAACCTTTTTCAGGGGCGGGTGAGACTCCCGAAGGCCTCTTGGGGGCTACTGAGTGGCCGTTTGGGCCTATGGAAAGCGTGTTGGGGGCCTCTAGGGCCGTCTGAAGGGGCTCCGTCTGACGCCTTTGGAGGCCGTCTGTGGCGCCTGTCTAGGCCGTCTTGCTGCCCTCTTGTAGTGCGTCGCACCGTCTTGGGGCCTTCTTGAGGTCCTGTTGGGTCGATTTGGGTCCCCCTTTGGGGGCCTCGCAGGCATGTAATTTGGAAGCCCCTTGGACCGTCTTTGGCGGTCGGAGGCCCAAAAAGGTGCGAATTGCATCTCATTCAACATGCTGGCCAGCGTGGACCCCAAGTCATATTTCTAGAAGTATATGCGGTGCAATATATATATATATATATATATATATATCGATATATATATATATAGTATGAGATAAATTGTGCAATATATGTGGTGCAATGTATGCTGTGCAATTCACTTGCCGAACTTGAAGTTGTCAACTCCACTGCTCGCGCAATCATCCAACCCACCCACCCGCAACTTGGTTTGCAAAACCCATGCGGGACCGAGCACAAATATCGCTCCGGGGTCGTCTTGGAGCCCTCTGGGGCAAGTCAAGAGCGCCCCAAGAAGGCCGGAGAAGCAAGACGGCCGACGACGACGACGACGACGACGGCGGCGACGACGACGACGCCGACGTCGACGACGAGGAAGACGACGACACCGACGCCGACTTCGACGACGAGGAAGACGACGACGTCGCCAACGAAGACGACGAGGAGGGAGGAGGGAGGACGACGACGGCGACAACGACGACGACGACGACAACGAGGGAGGAGGGAGGACGGCGACGACGCGAACGACGAAAAAGGAGGAAGAACGGCGACGCCGACCACGACAACGACGAGGGAGGAGGGAAGACGACGACGAGATGACGACGACAACGACGACGACGACGACGGCGACGAACTAGGAGGGACGACGACGAGACGCCGACGACGGACGACGACGACGACGAGGGAGGAGGAGGAAGGACGACCACGGCGACAACGACGACGGACACGACCACGACGCCAAAGAGGACGACGACGACGAACACGAGGAAAGACACAGGACGACGTAGGCGACGACGACGACGACGACGCGGGAGGAAGGAGGACGGCGACGACGACGACGACGACGCCGCAAGAGCGTGCGCGCACGCTTTTGTTGAAAATCAGTGTTGCGAAACCCTGTGTGTTTGTATGTTTGGGAACTCGATGGCAAAATCCTCCCGACACCGAAAGTTTTAGGATTCTGGCATGCGCGCGCGACGACGCGCGCGTGTGCACTTCGTCCCATTTGTTGCAAGGGATTCGTGAAACAAATGTTATGTTATAATCGAAAATGTGACCGCACAGGGGGGGAACCCGGTTGGCCTGGGACATTGCGATTTCACATTTAGGATGGACATGTGGTCATAATCGTATGTGATTTACATACCCGACAGAGGGGGGCGATAACTCCGGGGAGGGGGGGGTAGAGTCTGTTCTCTTTTTAGAAAAAAGAATTTTGAAATTGTTCACCCAAGTGCTCGCGCAAACATCCCGCCCACCCACCCGCAACGGTTTGCAAACCCCATGCGGTGGTGATTGCGAGTGGTTGGCGCTGGCTGGTGCATCTCTGCGGCCGCGACATCCCGCGCATGCACGCGCGCGCAGCGGCCAGCTACTTTGGCGCAGCCGACGCAGCCGCGGTGGCGCTGACCGCGGGGCACCTCCCAGCGGGCAGTTCAATGCGAGTCGGCGAGTTGGGCGGGCGAAGTATCATGGCAACATCGACGACCGTAGACACGGTGATGCTAGTAGCGGTGCTGGTGACGACGCTGACAGCGACGACGGCACGGCCAGTGACGGCGCGGATGCTGATCGCGCCGGCGACGATGACGGCGTCCTCGCGTCGGCGACGCAAATTTTGGAAAAAAACTCCGTCATGCGCGCGGACGACGCGCGAGTGGCCCGCATGGTACGGTTTGACACGGACCGTGCCCACCCCCAGCACGCGCGCAAGGGTGTGCGAATGATGCCGGCAGGCGCGAGAGGCCCGTTGGCAGAACTCCACGCGAATTATAAAAAAAACACGGTTTTCTTAAAAAGTCGCAGGAGCGCGACGGCACGCTTGTTTGAAAACTGATGTTGCGAAACTAGTTGTTTGTTGTATGTATTTGGAAACTCGGTTTGGGAATCGCTACGAAAGCGCAACTTTTTCTACATATTTCGGCACGCGCGCGTGCGACATAGCGCGCGTGAGTTTCGCCCCGTGTTTTTCCAACGGGTTCTCGCGACGGCACGCGCGCAAGGGCGCGCGATTGATCTCGACATCCGCGCGCGAAGCCGATTTGGTAGCATGTTCTGCAAATGTTGAAAAATCAATGTTCTTCTCGGTATAAAACCAAGTCACAACAACGCGCAGACTTTATTGTAACACATATAAATATTTCCCTACCTAGGCTCTGCCTAGAAGGGTTCTTACTCTCTAGCTTAAAGGGGCCGGGCAGTGGAAAGCGCCCCGGGCGGTTCCCCCAGTCCCCGCCCCGCGGTTCCCCCAGTCCCCTGGGAGCTTTAGCTTTAGCTTTAGCTTTAGCTTAGCTTCAGCTTAGCTTTAGCTTAACTTTAGCTTAGCTTTAGCTTAGCTTTAGCTTAGCTTTAGCTTAGCTTTAGTTTAGCGTTGGCTTAGCTTCAGCTTAGCTTCAGCTTAGCGTTAGGCTTAGCGCTAGCTTAGCTTCAGCTTAGCTTTAGCTTAGCTTCAGCTTAGTTTTAGCTTTAGCTTAGCTTTAGCTTAGCTGTAGCTCAGCTGTAGCTTAGCTTTAGCTTAGCTTTAGCTTAGCTTTAGTTTAGCTTTAGCTTAGCTGTAGCTTAGCTTTACTGTTACTACTAATGCTGCATTCCTAGGGGCTCCACATCCTAGGTAGGGTCGCACAGGGCTAATTTTGTTTTTATGTATAAAACAGTGTTGCGAAATCTTTTGTATTTACTTGTTGCACTCGATTTTGACATCCGGACGAAAACGAAGGTTGTTGAAGGATTTCGGAATGCGCGAAAGACGACGCGCGCGTGTGCACCTTGTCCAGTTTTTTGTTTGAAAAAAGGTTCTTGAACACTTTTGGTTTTTGATAAACGAGTGCGCGCACATAACACTTTTTGCAGAGGATGGCGGGGGGGGGGCGGATACTGGCTTGGCTAGGGGGATGGCATGAGTTCATATTTAGGATGGACGATTGGGCAGAATCATATGCACATTTTAATTCGAACAGGGGGACCGATAACCCCGTGGTGAGGGGGTGAGCCTATTTTCTTTCTAGAAAAGAAAGAACCTATGGGTGCAACCTTTTGTTTCACCTGACAACACTCCTCACCTCAACGCGAGGGGCGCACGGTTTGTAGGCTCCCGTGGGAGCCCATCAAGTCAGCCCCTACTGGAGCCCATCACGTCAGCCCCGAAGGAGCCAACTCTCGCTGATCACCTGGCCCTCTTGGCCGCACGGGCCGCGCGAGCGTTGGCCAGCAAGGCGAGCCAGCACTCCTCCCGCAACCGCGCGTGCTCTGCCCGCCCGCGCTCCAGCTCGCCCTGCAGCTTGTGCAGCCTAAGCTCCGGTCAGCGCCTGGCAATGAG